AACTGCTTAATTGCTTCATTTCTATAAAACCTACCCTCTTCCTGTCATATTGACCTGTTCGTGTGTAGTTTTTCAACATGTGGCAGGATGGCTTTTCACTGTTTTGTACGATTTCGAAGCATCGTTTTTATAGCAGTTAATGTTAAAGTTTAGTTTTGTTTTTGTAAACTCATTGTACCAATTTCTGCTATGTGACTTTCTCATAGTATGCTTTTGGTATTATAGATGTGATACTAGGAAGAAATCTGGTGTTTTCACTGAACCTACTGATGATGCGCATTGGTCAGAAAACAATCTTGAATGATTTGTAAAAAATTAAAGTCTTTAAGAATCAACTTCTTTGTATCAGTTTAATGTTCAAGTTGTATAAATTAAGGCATTCATAGGGGCCATAACTGTTTGGAATGTCTGAATCAATGAAGTTAAGAGCTTTTCCTTGGCATAAGCTTTGGGATTTAGAATTTAGGTTTTCCAAAAAAACCCCAAAACCAACCAACCAACCAAACAAAAAAACTTGTAAAGATTTTTGAATGCAAGAAGTGAAGGAGACAGAAAAGAGCTACACTTATAAATTCTCTTAGCCCTGCCCCCACTCTCACTCAAATAATTAGATTGATATCAAAGGCCCACAGTTTGACCTTCAGTATGCTGCTCTGTAGTTGTTAGGGATATAACTTTTGTTAGATAAAGCACAAATAGGCAGGTGTTATGGGGGAGGGGGGGAACCCGCATGTAATTGGCAGAAGTAGCAGAACTAAGCTTATACAAGAATATCTGCCCGGCGCCTCACTACACCAATCAACGAGCAACAGTTGAGGGGTCCACCAACCAGCAAAGATGAAACAATCTGGAAGGTGCCCTCCACCTCATAAACCTCATCCACCTTGGCCCGAAGCGGGGGCATGACTCTACCTTTGGGGATGCCTGGGACCAAGCTCGCGCAGCCAGAACCAACACGCTCAGCACCCTACTCCTCCTGACCCCTGAAAACCACTGCTCCTATCAGCGAGGAAAGGGGAAATAGAGATGGCCACATGACGAGTGCTACTTGGAGTAAATGGACAGCCCTGATTACCCAGTGGGCTCAGATGGGGAAACAGAAATGTCTGGGCCTGGTAGAAGAGCTGATGGAATGGCCCCAAAATTGCGATTTTGGGGCATCACCTGAGGTATCACCATGCGCTCAAGAAGCCCTGGAATATGACAAGCTATCCAAAGAAGAGCGACAATATGTGCTGTTCACTGACGGTTCTTGTCGACTTATTGGCAATCGGAGAAGATCGAAAGCTGCCGTTTGGAATCCTGTCTAACAGGTGATAAAAACAGATGAAGGTGAAGGACAATCGAGTCAGTTTGCAGAAGTCCAAGCTATGAGACCGGCCATCGATGTAGCATCACCTATTGCTGGGCAAGAGACCGAGGGGGTGGACTTGTCTAAAGATGCCATTATACGCATAACAAAGGACTGAAATTTGTGCATTAGTGAAAAAAGCTAAACAACAAAAAAACATTGAAGCACGAAGGACGACATTTAAACTACCAATTTGGAGATGCGTGGCAAGTAGACTACATTGGACCTTTGTACAGGACTAGTAGAGGGCATCAATATGTCCTAACCATGGTAGAAATGACTACGGGCTGGCTGAAGACTTACCCAGTGGCCCATGCCACTGCTAAAAGCACAATAGTAGGTCTTGAAAAACAAACGTTGTGGGGACATGATACACCCGAAAGAACTGAGTCTGACAATGGCTCTCATTTCAAAAATGAAATAATAAAGTTAGGGACAGATGAACATGGAATTGACTGGGTATACCATATCCCCTATTATCCCCAGGCATCGAGACAGGTAGAACAGCATAACGGACTCCTGAAAACTATTCTACGAGCCCTGGAAAAAAGGGATATGAGAAATTGGGATGTTAATTTGGCAGAAGCCACTTGGCTTGTGAACACTCGAGGGGCATCGTCCTGACCCGGCCAAGCCCAGGCTAGACCTGTGTTACCGCCCTAAGTCCGACTCTCCCCCTTTAGATTGAAGGCTTGAGACATAACTGATCGAGATGGTTATAATGTTTATTGATTAAGTGACACACCTTAAAAAAAAAAACTAATAATACTCTAATTGGCTAATAAACACACCACTTATTAGTAATATTGCTGCACAATTACATTGCTGCAAGCAATACTGAGTTACAATTCTATTGCTTATTATTAGTATTATTATTGATACGCAGTTATATTACTATAAAGAAAGCATATAAATCACACACACAAGGCAATAGAATTGCAACTTAATAGCGCTTTCCTCCTGCACTTAATAGTAAGGTACAAGTCTATCCCTCCATACAAGTTTATCCCTTTTTACTTCACCCTCCCACACCAAGTCTTTCGGACACAGATCTGATGGAGAGTCCAGCGGTTTGTCCAAGGGGGTTCCCTCCAGCGTCCCAGGGGGCTTGGGCCTGCAGGTCAGCTTCACCACCGTCTGTAGGCGTCCACGCTCCTACCATCGCAAGATCTCCCAGTTCTTTGTTCTCCACCTGATTTTTATACCTTATTCCCCGCCCGCCCCCCTTTTTTTCCTCTTTTCCTGAACCCACCTTTTCACCACCCCTGCTCCTCCTTTTCTCTGCCCAAACTCCTCCCAAATAAACAACCCACTCCTAATTGCGTTTTCCTCATTGGTCCCACTTCTGTTACATCTGTACCCAAATTCAGTGTTTCCAACACTGTTACCTAGGCAATTTCGGCCTAATATGGTATTACTTATACCAGTTATCCAGATGAAGGCAGTTATCCAGATGCAGTTATCCAGATGAAGGCAGCCTTGCATCTCAAGACTCCCTTCTGACCTTACGGTTCATGCTGGTTTTATTTCATTTCCATTATATGCTTTTTGGACAGAATTATCTTACTTTAGCCTTGATACCCCTACGTACTCCTAATTAAGCACAAGCAGTTTGCATACCAGAGCAACAACATAGCCCAGTTAGTACTCACACCATACTTCTGTCCTTGAACAGTTTTCATCACACCTCTGGTTCCCATCAGAGGCCTTAGCTAGTTTTGAAGCCTAGTAGTCCAGCAGGACCTCTGGCTCACAACCTGTCAGAAGGATGGAGATCTCCTCTCAGATGGAGACAAGGCGCCCGTCATGACAGGCCGTGATTGGATGGGAACAAAGGTTTGGACGGTCATCCCCTTAGGGAAAGGGAAAACACAGAGGGGGGTAGCGTTTGCACATGGACCAAGACATACAGCACGGGTAATGTTACAAAACAGGAAAGTTATCTACACACACACACAGAGTCTGTAATTAACCCCCTGTGAACCTCACTGTATACAGGAAGATGAACCCTATTTTGGTATGGACAGCAGTCTGGACTTTGACCATAACAGTGGCACAAACAATGACACCCCCCCCCTCCCCAGTGCCAGCTGCAAGCTACTTTGCCACTGCAGAATGAGAGCGAAACATATGAAATGAACCGTTAAAAAAAATATTGGAGGATTTGTGGTATGGTGGGAAATTGAAGGGGAATGTGTTACTGTACATGGGGCAGGGATATGCTGGATAATAATACAACCCAGTTAACTCTGAACAGCACCCAGAATGGCGCAAGTAAAAATGGAGCCTGGTACGTAGGATATATTAGTGAACATAAGGACTTCTCACCAGTATGATGACTAGACTTAACTGGACCACCAACTTCATGAGCATTTATAAAAGGACCCAAAACAATCTAAGATTAGAATTTAAATATAATGAGACCCTATCTAATGGAAGAAACACAAACCAAACTAGCAACTTAACCTCCATATTATCTTGGCAAAAAGGATACAGTAAGCCCCACAATCTGTAGCACCACCTTCCGTTATCTTTGACCATAGGAAAGTGGCAAACTTTACTTGGGGTAACCCAATAAGAGAAAGAGTACCCACATCAGGTGGGATTGGAATGCAGGTCAACACAATACCACCTGTACCCTTTTTATTATAGGGGTTCAACATGCCATGTTCCCTGAACATGACATTCACAGAAGAACTAAAAGAGACATATCAGGAATGCCAGGACTTGGAGGAGCTGCCCTAAACACCATGGATATCCAAGCCCTCCAAGCCTGGCTGCAACTGGTTGGACAACTAGCCTCTCAGCACTTTGAGGGGCTAGCTAAAGCTGCTAGCCAATTAGAAACGGCTGACCTCCAATTGCACTCAATAGAAAGAAAGATCTGGGCAGCAGTGGCAGTGAAAAAAACGGTCTAAGACTATTTCTACTGGTGTCCAGAGTGCCTCTTTGGACACCACCTGCCAGAGTATGCAACTGGCCACTTTACTAGTAATGAACAAGAATGGTTAATCTGCAAAGGAAAATATTGGGATAGCGTAGCCCGTATGTTACATCTTCCTAAGATGAGCTACACACCCAAGATGCCGGGGCAGTTCTGAGAATTAGGTGGACAGACCGACCTGCGTGGACTACATATGTCCAAGGGGTGGCATTACCAGTCATAATGGCTGGTCGGTTATGGACACATAGCTTGACGTCCCCATGGCTATGGATGGACAGTGAACGAAACAAAACTGTCCCTGTAGATATTTGAGGGTGTGAGGAATGGGACCATAAGAAGTGGATATGTACACAAGAACCCCCGACTATGACTAACTCTTGTGCAAGTAGCAGAACTCAAGGTATCTGCACCCTTATATCTTTTAGGGAAAAACAATTCGTAACTACTAATTCGTGTAGTGTCTGTAGATCTGCCAGTGGAGTGGGAAGATGGAACATGCTCATTCCCGCCTGTGCAAGAATGTAAAACCAGTGCTACTGTGGCTATAATTGGTAACCACACCTATCATGCCCCAGCTGACATCACTTGAGTAGTTAGGCCAATGTTGGAGGCCCTTGGTTTGACCTTTGGTATGTTGCTCTGTAGTTGCTAGGGATGTAACTTTTGTTAGATAAAGCACAATTAGGCATGTGTTATGGGGGTTTATAAAAAAACACAATTGGGCGTGTTTGGGGGGGGGGGGGGGGGGAATGCGTAATTGGCAGAAATAGCAGAACTAAACTTACTTATACAAGAATACTTGCCCAGCAACTTGCTGTACCAATCAATCAACGAGTAACAGCTCGGAGCAGTCCACCAACCAGCAAAGATCAAACAATCTGGAAGGTGCTCTCCACCTCATAAACCTCATCCACCTCAGCCCGAATGAGGGGCATGACTCTACCTTTGGGGACGCCTGACTGCGGAGGACCTCCAGGGGCGCCTAGGAGCAAGCTCGCACAGCCAGAACCAACACACTCAGCACCCTACTCTTCCCAACCACTGACAACTGCTGCTCCTGTCAGCGAGGAAAGAGGAAGTGGAGATAACCACTTTTCTGTAACTTTGTAGCGTTCTTTGCATTCTTAATCACTCTTTCACAGAGGCAATAAATGTCCAAACTCCTTCACACGGATCCAATTATTGTGTAGCAATTAAAGCGTGCGCTTAATCTGTCCTGACCTAAAACATGACAACAACACACAGTACTGAGGGCAAAAAGGTAGATTCCAGTTCACATAAATACTGGATAGCCTAGTACTTTAAGAACAAAAAAATTAAATCTTTGCCCACTACATAAACTTGTAGCCTTGTCAGTACCAAAAGCATCAAAACTGTAGTTATAACTCATGCCACTGACAGGGGGATGGATGGATGCAAGTGGTACCAGATTTAAAAACAAGCAAAAAACTTACAGGAGAAGTTTTCAAAGACATTTGTCAGCTGAATAGAGCTGCACATGCATGACAGAGGAAATCATCTTGGGCCTGGAAGCCATTTTTTTATGCCAAAGAACCAGAAAGTTTGAGTGCTTGAAAAAAAAAAAATCAAAACAAATGAGATCTCTCAGAGTGTCATCTGCGAGGTTTTTGTCCCTTTGGGAAGCTAAAAATAACACCCACACAATCTTTTGGCTCTTCAGTGTCTCAGGTTGGAGGCTGGACTTTTAATAAGGTATTCTTTAAATTCTGTTTTTTTTAAAAGACTCAAGTCATTTTCATAAGGATATACAAATGCCGTATCTTTATCTTTCTGAGACAAATGATATTCAGTATGCTAACGATTCATGGCATAACACACTAAGGCCATGGTTATACCTTCCTACTTATCTCTGCTGCCAGCACTAATGCAAGCAAGTTGAATCAGGAAATGGCTTCAACTTAAAATTAGACTTTACCCCACTTTATTCTAGTTTTCGGCTGGATCAACTCCCTGATCTGGCTTGCTGTGTTGCTACATGAACATTAATGCTGGCACAAGAAGTGCAGGCAGCTGCACCCCTTTTTTCAGAAGCAGCCAAATTGAAGCAACTACATAAGCATGGCCTCATGAAAAGGGACAGTATTTCAAGTGTTGGATTCAGTATTATGAAGATGTTAACAGAAATTTTGGGGGCCTTCAAAGGAGATTTTGTTAGTGGTTTAACAACAGTTTACTCCTTAACATTTCTTATTTACGCTAAACTACTTAGGAAAAGATGGGAGCTTCCTACCTTGCATCAAGTTCAAACACAGAATCAATGACTATCCAATAAGAAAATACCTTCAAATCCAGATTCTAATAAAGTAAGATAATTAAGCATAGTGTTACCTTTCTCTTTCGTCCTCTTCTAGCAACTTTAGGAAAACATTTATCATTTGTTTTCATCACATCCTATAAAGACAAGAAAAAACAAAGACATTCTTAGCAAACCTAAGATATAGTTTAAATGATCAGGAATTTCTCAGGGAAATCTCATAACTGAAGTTTCTGATATACAATTTAGGCAAAAATTTCATCACATATATCAAGACACTTTCTGTTACTAAATATCATTACATTAAAGTTTGCTCTCCGACAGTATCTCTAATTCCCATTAGCTTCAATGAGAAGTATAAACATAGCTAAATACATATGAAATTTTATATTTTAAACCATTCCCAAGACAGTCACGCTGCTAGCAACTGTAGCTTCTAAGTATTTGAAGATGCAGTTGTAAGTCAAAGTACATAGTATTAAAGTGAGCTTCTTTAGGTTAAAAAAGTAACCTTCCACATACTTCATTACTGGGTTTTTCAAAAGGGGTATCATCTCCCTTTGTAGGATCCATCTCTTGGTCTTCTGCAGGTAAGTTATTATCCTGTTTAGCAGATGACTGAAAATGGAAAAATCAACATGGAGTTACTTAATTTATAGAAAAATAGATGTGAAAGAGGGAATAAATTCATCACTATCAAGCTGCTTTGCACTTTCAGTTTAAATAGTTTAAGTCTATACATGCACACTGCTTCTTTAGATACACATCAAGAGCCCAAAATCCAACATTTTCATTTTCATATGAGTACCTCTTTCTCTCTCTCATATTTACAGTTGTCAGAACAGGTCAAAAATATTGCAACGTACCCTGATGGAATGACAAAAAAAATACACCAGCACTTATTTTATTCCATTTTGCATTCATGATAACGTGATTACATTTCTCCATATCAGTACTTCTAAATGTTCATACCAACATTCAAGATTCATCTGGACCACTGCTTCTCTATGTACATGTACATGGATAAGAGTCATGGATCAGAACTAGCAAACCTGATCATTGCATTGTGTAGAGACCTTGTGCAATAGACTACAAACAAGGAATTTAATGGTTTGTGAGCTAGAATTAGAGAACACTGATCATTAGTAAGTGAATGTTTACAATGCTGTGCCTTAAAAACAACAAAACAGAAAAAAAACCCTTTAGAATAAAGACAGAGAGAGACAGAGACAGACAGACAGACAGAGCAACAGAGACAGAGAAAAAAAGACAGAGAGAGAGACAGGGACAGGGACAGGGACAGGGACAGACAGAGACAGACAGAGACGGAGAGACAGACAAAAAGACAGACAGAGAGAAGACAGAGACAGTGACAGCCAGAGAGAGCGACAGCCAGAGACAAAGAGATGCCCACAGACAAAAAGAGAAAGACAGAGACAGCCAGCGACAGAGACAGCCACAGCCAGAGACAGCCAGAAAGACAGAGAGAGAAACAGAGACAGAGACAATCACAGACAGAGACTGAAACAGAGACAGACACAGAGACAGAGAGAGGAAGAGACAGAGACAGCAAGAGACAGAAAGAGACAGAGAAAGACAGAGAAAGAGACAGAGACGGCCAGAGACTGAGACGGCCAGAGACAGACAAAGACAGTCAGACATAGGCAGAGACAGAGAGACAGACAAAAAGACAGAGCGAGAGAGAGCGACAGAGACAGAGACAGCCAGAGACCGAGACAGTGACAGTGACAGCCAGCAACAGCGAAAGAGATGCCCACAGACAGCCAGAGACAGCCAGATACAAAGATAGAGACAGAGACAGCCAGGGACAGAGACAGAGACAGCCAGAGACAGCCAGAGACAGAGAGAGGGAGCGACAGAGACAGAGAGACAGTCACAGACACAGAGACAGCCAGAGGCAGAGACAGGCAGAGACAGAGACTGAAACAGAGACAGACACAGAGACAGAAAGAGAAAGAGACAAAGACAGCAAGAGACAGACAGAGACAGAGAAAGACAGAGAAAGAGGCAGAGACAGTCAGACATAGGCAGAGACAGAGACAAACAAAAAGACAGAGAGAGAGAGAGTGAGCGCGACGGGCAGAGACAGGCAGAGAGAGAGAAATCCAGGAACAGACAGAGAAATAGACAGAGACAGCAACAGCGACAGCCAGAGACAGAGATGCCCAAAGACAGAAAGAGACAGGCAGACACAAAGACAGCCAGAGACAGGAAGAGAGAGGCAGAGACAGACAGAGACAGAAAGACAGAGAGAAACAGAGACAGCCAGAGAGAGACAGAGACAGACAGCCAGAAACGGACACAGAGATGGACAGACAGACAGACACAGACGCAGAGGCAGAGACGGCCAGAGACAGGCAGAGACAGCCAGAGAGACAGAGACAGCCAGACAGAAACAGAGACAGCTAGAGACCGCCAGAGACCGAGACTGCCAGAGACAGCCAGAAAAAGAGAGACAGAGACAGACAGAATGAGAGAGAGAATGAGACAGAATGAGACAGAGACAGAGAGAGACAGAGACCAACAGGGACAGAGAGAGAGAGACAGAGATGGAGACGAACAGAGACAGTGACAGACACAGACAGAGACACAGAGACCGCCAGAGAGAGCCAGAGACAGGCAGAGAAAGAGAGAGAGCCAGAGCCAGAGCCAGAGCCAGAGCCAGATCGAGACAGGAAGAGACAGGAAGAGACAGAGACAGCTAGAGATAGGCAGAGACAGAGAGAGACAGAGAGAGAGAGGGACAGAGACAGGCAGAGACAGAGACAGCAAGGGGCAAACAGAGAGAGAGACAGCGACAGTGACAGAGAGACAGCGACAGCGACAGACAGCATCAGCCAGCGACAGCGACAGACAGCGACAGCGACAGACTCAGACAGAGAGAGAGGGACAGAGAGAGAGACAGAGATAGCCAGAGACAGCCAGAGACAGAGACCCAGAGGGATAAGATTAAGACAGACAGAGCCAGAGACAAACACAGCCAATCAGCGACAGAGACAATCAGAGAGAGAAAGAAACAGAGACAGCCAGAGACAGAGAGCCAGAGACAGAGATTGATAGGGATAGACAGGGACAGAGACAGCCAGAGACGGACACAGAGATGGACAGACAGAGACAGAAACAGACACAGACACAGAGACGGCCAGAGACAGGCAAAGACGGCCAGAGATAGCCAGAGAGCCAAAGACAGACAGCCAGACAGAGACCACCAGAGACAGCCAGAGACCACCAGAGACAGAGACTGCCAGAGATAGCCCAAGACAACCAGAAAAAGAGACAGCTAGAACGAGACAGAGATAGAATGAGACAGAGACCGAGACACAGACAGAGACTGCCAGAGGCAGACGGAGAGACGGAGGCCGACGGAGAGACGGAGGCAGACAGAGACTGCCAGAGACCGACCGAGACCGACTGAGATTGCCAGAGACTGAGAGAGAGATTGCCAGAGACAGCCCAAGACAGCCAGAAAAAGAGAGAGACAGACAGAGACAGAGCCAGGCAGAGATACAGAGAGCCAGACAGACCCAGACCCAGACCCAGACCGACAGAGACAGAGATCGCTAGAGACAGAGATCGCTAGAGACAGCCCAAGACAGCCAGAAAAAGAGAGAGACAGAGGCAGAGGCAGACAGAGGCAGACAGAGGCAGAGACTGCCAGAGACAGGCAGAGAAAGAAAGAGACAGGGACAAAGTGAGACAGAGAAAAAGACAGAGAGACAGAGACAGATAGACACACAGACACAGCCAGAGACAGAGAGCACCAGGGACAGCCAGAGACGGGCAGAGACAGGCAGAGACCGAGACAGGCAGAGACAGACAAAGACAGAGACAGAGACAGTCAGAGAAAGACAGGGACAGAGACAGACACAGACACAGAGACAGGGTGACAGAGAGAGAGACAGAAAGTGATAGACAAGGACAGACAGAGAGAGACAGACAGACATAGACAGAGACAGACAGAGAAAGAGACAGAGACAGAGGCTAAGAGAGAGAGAGACAGAAGAAGAAACAGAAACAGACAGACAGAGACAGAGAGAGACAGAGAAAGACAGAGACAGAGAGAGAGACAAGCAGAGAGATACAGAGAGAGAGGAAGACAGAGACAGAGGGATACAGAGACAGAGACAGAAAGCGACAGGAAGTGACAGAAAGAGACACAGTCAGACAGCCAGGCAGAGACAGCCAGAGACAGCGACAGAGAGAGGGATAGCCAGAGACAGAGAGCCAGGACAGAGGGATACAGAGACAGAGACAGAAAGCGACAGGAAGTGACAGAAAGAGACACAGTCAGACAGCCAGGCAGAGACAGCCAGAGACAGCGACAGAGAGAGGGATAGCCAGAGACAGAGAGCCAGGGACAGCCAGAGACAGCCAGAGACAGAGAGAGAGACAGAGACAGGCAGAGACAGTAAGAGACAGAGACAGTGTCAGAGACAGAGACAACCAGACAGAGACCGAGAGAGAGAGCCAGAGAGAGAGCTGGAGAGTGGGGGGAGGGGGAGAG